CGGGCCTGACCTAAGGAGGATTTTATTTAGGGACGATTTTAAGTATAATTTTAATTGGAACACAGCTTCGAATATTTGGTTTTAATTTGGTTTTAGAGGGGTTTTTATTTTTATTGATATGTGTATCTGTTTTAATATGCTGTGCACCGCCCTGAGTCCTGCGGGAGAAGGGCGGTATAGAAATTAAAATAATAATAAAATTAAAATAATAATAATAAATAATAACTGCTTAGAGAGGGCTGTAAAGCACGGTGAAGTGGTCTAAGTGCTATTGCTATTAGCAAATTAGCATTGATGATGTTACCTAGTTTGGTAATGAAACATCTGCAAGAAAACTACCAAGTTCAAAGAGCACTTGGGATCCCTCATTTCAACCTGGAGCTACAGATATGCTCCTCTATCAATATACTAAAGGGGAAGGCAGCTAAGAATATTTCAGGGTATGCCCTGATTCTTGATAAGAACGAGGAAAGAGATTTTTGATTGGAGAAGAAACAAAACAGAGAAAAAAAATCATTTCCTGTCTGACCAGACAGGATTTGCTTTCTTTGATTTGCTGTGATGGAAGACGACTTAATTTTATGTGTTCTTTTACACATACCCAGGCTCCAAGAAAGTCATACCCAGTTGTACGGCACACATAAATTTAGAGTCCCTTACCATTCTATTTTGTAATTTCACTGGGCCAGTTCTTCTCTTTCCTATGTAGGGACACTATCAATTAGTCTGTGGTTTGCTTTTCTTTTTTTTAAAAAAACTAGGCAATATAGGTAGTCCTCGAAGTACGACCACAACTGAGCCTAAAATTTCTGTTGCTAAGCAAGGTGGTTGTTAAGTGAGTTTTGACCCACTTTATGACCTTTGAACAGTCACTCAGCAAATGGTTGTAAATTGAGGACTCTCTGAGCAGGGATCTTCAAACGTGGCCCTTTTATGACTTGTGGACTTCAACTCCCAGAATTCCTCAGCCAGACACGCTGGCTGAGGAATTCTGGGAGTTGAAGTCCACAAATCATAAAAGGGCCAAGTTTGAAGACCCCTGGTCTGTAGTAACAGGACTTGGTCTCCTATGTTAAATTGCTTCATCTTCTGCCCTTGATTTTAATGTTTTTTCTGGTTTTCTCTGGCAGTTGCTAAATGTTCCTGGGCAAATGTGTCCCAGGGCAGCACCTCTCCCAACCTTTTGGGCACCAGGGACCAGTTCCGTGGAGAGAGGTTTTTCCACAGACCAAAGGCGTGGTTTCGCATGCTGCCTGCATCCCATGGATGGGGCTTCACTTGTTTACGTGGACCATTGGCCTGTGCATGATAAGGGACCTTGGAGTCTTCTAGTCCAACCCCTGCACAAGCAGGAGACCCCATACCATTCTGAACAAATGGCTGTCCAATCTCTTCTTGAAAATTCCAGTGTTGGAGCAGTAACAATTTTTGAAGGCAACCTGCTCCACTGGTGAATTGTTCTCATCAATAGGAAATTTCTACAGTAGGTTGTTTCTATACTTGATTAGCTTCCATCCATGGCTTCTTGTTCTGCCTTCTGGTGCTTTGGAAAATAGCTTGACTCCCTCTTCTTTGTGGCAGCCCCTCAAATATTGGAACACTTCTATCATCTCACCCCTAGTCCTTCTTTTCACTAGACTAGCATACCCAGTTCCTGCAACCGTTCTTCATATGTTTTAGCTTCCAGCCCCCTGATCATCTTTGTTGCTCTTCTTTGCTCTCTCTCAACATCTTTTTTATATTTATATTTTTTACCATTCAGTTTACTTATAATTATGTGGACTGTGTATATATGTTTATTTCTCTTCTGACATGTTCTCATCGTATGCTAAATTAATAATCAGAGAACCACACCACTCTTTCTCCAACAGGATGACTGGGATGTGGAAGAGTTTATCTCAAAAACCTGCATGGGCAGGTTCCTGCATCATCCAGCTTTCAAGATTCTGTTAGCGACTCTTGTAATTGGCAACGCCATCGTCATTGCTCTCCGAACAGAGCCAACATTAGAAGAGGTTGGTATACTGTGCCTGGCAGGAGAACTGCTTCCTGCTAAAATGTGGGAGGTGGGAGAAGACCTGTGCTTCTCCAGGGACTGTCCTGTGTCTTCTGATGATCCTTGGACTGCATAAATCCTCCCAGCCCCATTTTTGGGGCCACAAATGATACAGAAATTTGATAGCAAAAGATCGCTCTCAGCACTGCAAGTTTGAAATGTTTAGTAAAGACTCAACATAGGTGACCTAACCTCCTCAAGCTAGGCTGCATTAACAGAGGGATAGAATCAAGATCACATGAAGTGTTAATACCACTTTACAATGCCTTGGTAAGGCCACACTTGGAATATTGCATCCAGTTTTGGTCACCACGATGTAAAAAAGACTCTAGAAAGAGTACAGAGAAGAGCAACAAAGATGACTGGAGGCTAAAGCATATAAGGAAAGGCTGCTGGAATTGGGTATGTCTAGTTTAATGAAGAGAAGGATGAGGGGGGACATGAAAGCAGTGTTCCACTATCTCTGCCACAAAGAAGAGGGAGTCAAGCTATTTTCCAAAGTGCCTGAAGGTAGGAGAAGAAGCAAGGGATGGAAACTAACCAAAGAGAGAAGCAACCTAGAACTAAGGAGAAACTTCCTGACAGTTAGAACAATTAACCAGTGGAACTACTTGCCTCCAGAGGTGGTGAATGCTCCAACACTGGAAGTTTTTAAGAAGAGACTGGACAGCCATTTGTCTGAAATGGTATAAGGTTTCCTGCCTGAGCAGGGGGTTGGACTCGATGACCTCCAAGGTCCCTTCCAACTTTTATTATTATTATTATTATTATTATTATTATTATTATTATTATTATTATTATTATTATTATTATTATTATTATTATTATTATTATTATTAACATGTTTATTTTGATTTTTTAAAAAGAAGTTCTCCATAACTTTCCCAATGTAATAAAACAGTAAAACACATGGATCCCATGAGCTGGCAGAAAATCTTATCCACTGCCATCCTGGCAGGCTGTTCAGAAATGTGCTCATTACCTGTAAAAATAGTGCCCATCCCTGCAATAAGTAAATAATGGATGGGACCGTGACTAATTAGTTGACCCCCTCCTCCTCCCTGTGCTTCCTGCTCCCCCTCTGTCCATCTTCTAATTTATATTATTGTACTCCCCTTGTGTATTTTTATTGTTTCAATGCTTTGCTATTGTTATGTGCACATTTTTAAATTATTTTTTTACTGTTATAAGTAATTTTACTGTTATAAATATATATTGTCTCATTCCGCTATATATGGAATGAGACAATTTGGCATGGCAAGCTCGGCGTGGTTAACTCACCATTGCCAAGTCGCTGCAGGACAACCCCACATGGCCAACTGGCTCCAGGGACAACTCGCCATGGGTGGCCCGGTGCTCAACATGGCGGTGGCGACAGGTGTGAAAATGGGAAGCTCCTGGCTGCTATCGTCGCTCCGCGCTCCATCCACCCACTCACTCATCTGCCTGCCCAGTTCTCCCTCTGGCTGCCCACAGCGAGTTGTCCCCGTGGTGAGTTGGTTGTGTGGAATTGTCCTGTAGTGGCTTGGCGGCAGTGAGTTGGCAGAGGTGACTCGGTGGTGGCGAGCTGACAGCGGTGAGCTGGGCATGCTGAGTTGTCTTAAATCTTCGCCCAGAGTAGCCCAATGGTGAGATGGGTGGGAAATAAATTTAGCAATTAAATAAATAATCAGCTTACTGCTCTATCCTGGCCTCATTAGACGCATGCAGATATAAGCATTATCATGCAAATGAGGTCAATACCCAAGCATTAAAGGCAAAGTATGAGAACTTTAAAAAAATGTTATAAAAATGGAGGCATGCAAATCTCTTTTTGTTTTTCTTTTCCTTGCACAGAAGTACTTTGGCTTATTCTCTGCCATTGACACGATTGTGCTGTCTTTTCTGATCTGTGAGGTCATTCTCAACTGGTACTATGGATTCTGTTTGTACTGGAAGGTGAGAGGGCCAAGGGTTTTGTCTTAAGGCTTATTCCAAAGAAACCTTATTCAGGCATTGAAACGTGGTGCAAACAGATACATACAGGTAGTCCTCAACTTATTCCCATAATGGAGCCCAAAATTTCTGTTGCTAAGCGAAACATGTTAAGTGAGTTTTGCCCCACTTTGTGATTTTTCTTGCCAGAGTTGTTCTTGCCACAGTTGTTAAGTGAATCATTGAAGTCGGTAAGTTAGTAACACGGTTGTTAAATGAAACTGTCTTCCCCATTGACTTTGCTTGTCAGAAGGTCACAAAAGGTGACCCCATGACCTTGGGACACTGCAACCATCATAAATATGAACCAGTTGCCATCTGAATTTTGATCACATGACCATGGGGATGCTGCAACACTTGTAAGAGTGTTGGTCCCAAGTCACCTTTTTTCAGTACTGTTGCAACTTTGAACGATCCCGAAAAAAATGGCTGTAAGTCGAGGACTACCTTTAATGTCCCTCTCCCTTGTTGAAAATTTTACTGATGATATATATAATGTCAGAGCGTGCACAGTCTTATTGCACTGAGATAACCCAGGAGAAAACATAGTAAACAGTGGTCTATATTAAATGGTGGTTTATACAATCTACAATATCATACACCAGGAACAATATACATACACATGGTAATACAGCAGGATCCAACACACAGCAGTTACAGCAAGCAAACGGAACAGACAGACACTCCAGCAAAAGCCTTCCCTTTTATAGTCTCTTAAAGGGATACAGACCCTGCTTGCTCGTAAAGAGACACAGACCCTGCTGAGTCATTCCTATCATTGCATCATCCACCTTATATTACATTACATCATACACCTCACATTATACAAGCTGGTTAGCTGTTAAATTATTACCTTGACACATAAGATATTTGCTCTGCTGTAACCCACATGTGATAGAGTCTTGGCGCAGAGAAAGAAAATTCTGCATATTTGGTAGCCTCCTGGCTATGAGCATGGAATAAATCAACTCCCCTAAGATCTTCTTAAGAAATTATATTTAGATCCCTGGTGTTGGATTACTCCTGCCTTCCTTCCAATTTGGATCTGAAATTCCTAAAATTGCCTTACTTCCGGACTACAGAATTTGGAGAAACTTTATCCTTCCATATACCTAACCTTCCTTGTCTTTCAAGAGTTTGTTCTCTCCCCTAAACAGGATGGCTGGAATATCATCAATTTTTGTATTGTGTTGTACCTATGCATCGGTTTGATCATTCCTCTATTGGAGAATGAGACAGTTTTTCGAATGGTCAGGTAAGCACATAAAATAAAAAGGTAAGATGAGCACTACTGGATCAGGCCAAAGATTTGTTTAGTCCTTGTTTTGTGTCATCCAATGCTCAACTCAATGTATCTGGGAAATTCATAAGGACAGATACAAAAACGTGCTTATTTCTGCTTTTTGGAATTTTAGATGTAGAAGGAGGATAGAGGGAAATGTTCGAACATTTCCAGTGAGCCATAACAATTGCAGCTGTGTGTGAACTCAAGGCCAATATTAGATAAAGTTTTGGCAGGCTGAGAAGTTGAGCCCCGTTTTGGATTAATTGGTGAATGTGATTTATGACAGCTTTTCTGGGGTGGGAATTGCAACTTTTTACTTTGGATCTGGGGGAGGGAACTTTAGTCTTGGGTTCAACTATGTAAGTGCCAATACTTTGTTTCCTGAATAAAATGTTCTTTAAGGAAGAAATCTTTGCCTTGAAGTTCTTTTAATTGGTTTCATCTATCGGAACCATGACAATATTATTGTGTGAATTTCAGTGAATGATCTACTGTGTGACCCAGATTAGATGAAATATTAATGCCACATCTTCTGTTAAACTAGTGTCTGTGCTTCCCTAACATTGTCCTGGTAGCCAGTTTCACCTTAATGGTTGGATTCTGAAATATGTCCGTTGACTGTGCTGGTTGTGACAATGGGTGCTGAAACCCAGAACATCCAGAGGGCATTGGATTGGGAAAGAATGATTTAAGATCATCCATTCCTTGGAGCTGTCAGCTTTATATAAATGTACATGGACACATTTTCCATTTTTCCTTCTAGAGTCATGAGGCTGATACAAGTGTGTAGCTTGGTTAGTGGCCTGGCAAGAATGATCCAGGTGATCTTGCAGTCCATTCCTGACATGGCAAATATCATGATCCTACTTTTTGCCATCATGCTGGTAAGATGCCTTCATCAGATCTCCTCTCCATACCCCAAGCTAAATTCTTTTGTTTGGAAATGAACTGACAATGAAAAAAAGGACCAGAGGTGACATGATAGCAGTGTTCCAATATCTAAGGGGTTGCCATAAAGAAGAAGGGGTCAACTTATTTTCCAAAGGACCTGAAGGCAGGACAAAAGCAAGGGAGGGAAACTAATCAAGGAGAGAAGCAACCTAGAACTAAGGAAAAATTTCCTGACAGTGAGAACAATTAATCAGTGGAATGATTTGCCTTCAGAAGGGTCAAAATTAAAGGAGTCATCAGAATCGTTACATTCCAATGAATGGTCTAAGTCCAACTCTTCTTGAGTTCCATTAACCCTTATCTGGTGCCCATTTAGTATTGAACTATGGTTGACTAGATTCTTGTGTGTAGGCTTGACCAATAAATCTTCTGAACTACTTAATGTAATTAATTGAACAACTTAATATATGGTCCGGATTCTTCGCACCTGGCAGAAGGTATCAGAGAGGGAGAAAAAAATGGCTCTTTAACTTTGCTATTAATTGCTTTCTTCTGCCTACAATGCAGTCCTTAGCAGAAAAAAAAATCGATGTCCTTCTCCTAGCATGGAAAATAGTCTGAAGAATGATATGGTTATTTCAGATAGTCTACAACAGAGGCCCCCAACCCCCACCGCTGTGCTGTGGCCTATTTGCAAGTTGAGCTGCGTGCCCATGTGCACATCGGCCTGCCACTCATGTGGCCCAGTTTCCCTCTTCCCCCCGGTGCTGGGCTGCGAAGCCACAAAAGTTGGGGACCGCTGGTCTACAATGTTCTCTTGTGATTTTCCAGTTCAAGGGGGAAACTGTGTCCCAGAAAACAGATATTTTTGCACCATTCTCACTGTGTATTTTTGCAGGTCTTCTCTGTGTTTGGAGTGACTCTCTTTGGCACCCTTGTTCCAAAGCATTTTGGGAACCTGGGAACGGCTCTGTATTCCCTTTTCATCTGCGTCACCCAGGATGGATGGATTAATATTTATAATGATTTTGAGTGAGTAAAATCTTTTTCTACATCTATCTATCTATCTATCTATCTATCTATCTATCTATCTATCTATCTATCTATCTATCTATCTATCTATCTATCTATCTATCTATCTATCTATCTATCTATCTATCTATCCATCCATCCATCCATCCATCCATCCATCCATCCATCCATCTATCTTCATCATCATATTTTCACACATTACAGATGGTCCTCATCTTATGACTGTAATTGGTCTGGTCATAAGTTGTTGTGGTCATAAGTTAAGATATCTTGTGACCTGACTTGATTTTATGACACTTTTTGCGGAGGTCATTAATGGCACAATGGGGTCTCTATAATTACACACACACACCTCAGACAACTTCCTATTAGTTGGAGAAACGAATTACAAAATGGTTTCAACTTGGAACACTTATGTCAAAAGATCAAATGAAATATAAGCTTCTGCTGAAGTCATCACTTCAGATATCACTGCTAACCAGATGAATACAAGGATAAAGTAGTTCAATGAAAGTGAAGTGAAACATGACTCAAGAAGCCCTTGAATCATAAAAGTGCCCCAAAGGACTCAGTGTTCATGGCTGGCTAGCACTCCCTTACCTAAGATTACATTTAACCAAGATTAGAATGTGAAATAAATTTTCACCCAGCTTCCATCTTTTTTTGGGGATCACATGGCTACCTTTTGCATCTGCTGTGCAGTCCTTGGAAAGATTATACTGGATTTAGAACATAGAACATAGAATAACAGGGTTGGAAAGGACCTTTGAGGTCTTCTAGGTCAACTCCTTGCTCAAGCCAACGACTCTGTACCAGGGGTCCTCAAACCTGGCCACTTTAAGACTTGTGGACTTCAACTCCCAGAATTCCCCAACCAGCCATGGCTGGCTGGGGAATTCTGGGAGTTGAAGTCCACAAATCTTAAAGTGGCTAAGTTTGAGGACCCCTGCTCTATACCATTCCAGACAAATGGCTGCCCAATCTCTTCTTGAAAATCTCTAGCTTGCCCACAACTTCTGGATTGAAGCTGTTTGGCTGATTCAGGGGTGTCAAACTGCCGGCTCGCAGGCCAGATGCGTCATCCAGAAGCCACGCCCACCCCATTGCCGGCAATGGCAAAACCGTCCCGATACGTTGCACGACATCACATGACGTCACAAGTTTGACATGTCTGATTGATTGTTCTCACTGTCAGAAAAATGTAGGTTGGATTTCTCTTTAATGATCTTCCACCCATTACTTGTCCTGCCCTCAAGTACTTGGAAGAACAAGTCAATCTCTTCTCTGTTCCAGTTCTCCCTCAAGAACTGGAAGACTGTTATCACATCTCCCCTAGTCCTTGTCTTTGTTAGACTAGACACATCTAGTTTCGTTCATCCTATGATTTAGCCTCCAGACCCCTTATCATCTTTGTTGCTCTTCTCTGCACTCCTTTTAGAGGCCCAACTTTTTTTGGTATCATAACGACCAGAATTGGAGTGAATTTAATTTAAGGATTAAATTTAAGAAGCATTGGAAAACCCAGCCAATGTATTTAGTCTGAAGGAATCAAGTGCAACTTGATATATGCAACTTTCTTCTCCAACAGAAAGGAGGGTCTTTGTGGCCATACTTATAGTCCCCCATCCAGCCTTATCTCTTGGTCACCTCCCTGTCCATAAAGATAAGGCTGGTCCTGAGCCCCAGGAGGGATGAACAAGCCTGACTCAAAGCCATATTACCTTGAGATATTTACAAAAGGCTCCTTTAATGACTGCATGTCTTCTTTCCCTCACAGACATGAAGGTAAAGCCTTAGAGATAGGTGGGGCCCTCTACTTTTTTATCTTCATCACTTTTGGGGCCTTCATCTTTGCAAATCTGCTGGTGGCTGTGGTGACAACCAACTTGGAACAATCTATGGCTGCGTATCATGAGAAGAAGCAATTGAAAACCAATTTTCCTTCCCTTGGAGGCTTTGCTGGATTTGATGTGAGTTTGTAATGTCAAGACTTGGGGAAGCCAAGTGGGAAAAAAAGCACTGCCTGTAGGGCAGTATGCCTAGTGTCTGGACCCTGAAAATGGCACAGGAGCTTGCAAGGGCCAGATCAAATACATTATATGTAGAAGCCGCTCATTCAATAGAGGGGCAGCCCTACTTTATGGTGTTTGGATGAGTTGAGGGCTGCCTAATCGTATGGATTTTTGAGCAGGATGGCACCGATGATGACTTCACTGCATCCCAGTCAGAAGCGGTGCATATAAAGGAAGTTATTCAGGGAACACCCATGGTCCATCATCAGGAGTTGCTCAGCTTTGGCAATTTGGCCAACTTGAATGAGACAACTTGTGAAGATCTCTGCCTTGTCTTGGAAGCGATCCATGAGAACTTAAAGGAATATCAAATGATCAGGGATGAATTGGACCAGTAAGTCCTACCATTCCTTTGCTTTTTTCCCACCTTAGAATGGAAGCTATTCTAATGTAGCCAGCTAGCAACAGTTATCTATAGTGCAATCATACCACAACTTGATTACTACATTGAGATCTCTGTGGAATTGGACACATCATGACCTGCAAATGCAGTAATTATATTTAGTTAATTGCAACATGAAACTTAGTTTATGTAAACCCAGATTTTAGGTTTAATTTTATTTAATATTTTTACCATTAGCTCTCATGGTAGGAAGTTGGGATATGAACTGGAAAAAAAAATAACAGTAATATTCTTTCAAATATATAACTCTACTGGGCACTTAATTTCCTTTTCTATATAAAATTCCTTTCCTTCCTTCCTTCCTTCCTTCCTTCCTTCCTTCCTTCCTTCCTTCCTTCCTTTCCTCCCTCCCTCCCAAAAGGGGACATGAATTAAAAAAAATAACAGTGACTTCCAAATATATAACTGTACTGGTCATTTAATCTTTTCTATCTAAAATTCCTTCCTTCCTTCCTTCCTTCCTTCCTTCCTTCCCTTCCCTTCCCTTCCCTTCCCTTCCCTTCCCTTCCCTTCCCTTCCCTTCCTTCCCAAAAGGGCACATCTTAGTATATAGACATAAATTTACAAGGTTTTTTGTGCCTTTCACTCCTGGCAGCCACCTGGACTAGTCCCTGCTGATGTTTTTGGGGGACAAAATTCCAAAAGTGATTGGCCATTGCTGCCTTCTTTTTAGGGGTGAGATGAATACTTCCCCTTTGCTACTACACACAAGGAAGGAATGGCAGAAAAATAAATGTAGGACGATAATCTATCTTTCACTAATCTAGATTTAACATGAGTTTTTAATCTTTAATTTTCCACTTTAGCTCCCAGTACAAATAGAGGGGATGATCAATTACTTCACCATGCTGTTCCCCTTTGGTCTTGAGAAAGGAAAGGAGGGCTGGGGCCAACCTCACATGGGGTGTGTGTAAGATGTTACAGAGGGCAGGAGCAACAGCAGAGAAGGCCCTCCTCCTGGACCCCACCAGCCAGAATAATCGGGCTGACGGGACCCATAGCATGCCTCCTCTGCTGGCATGATGGGAATGAATTCCCTCTCATCCTAGGGGGTGGAGAGAGGAGAGAGAGGGGTCTGGGGAAGGTTCAACACACATCTGAGCTTGCTCCAAGGGGAACAGGACCACGGCCAGCTCCCTATGTGTATATTCAGGCCAGGTCTCTGCCGAGCAAGCTTGTTGTGTTCTTTTTGCCATGAACTCTAATTAACTGAGTTAGAAGTCATGCTGGTAAGATTAATTTCTGTTGCTCAAATTCTATCTCTTTTGTAGACATCTTCACATTATAAGGAGCACATGTGTTGATTCCAACTGACATCAGAGTTGTTCCTAGCAATGGAAATGGAACTGAGAGATGTTACATACTGTAGATGGTCATGGACTCATGGGGAATGAGTCATAGGAGAGGGATTAGACGGTCTACTCTAGACATGCAAGTCTATTTTAAAATGTCAAAGCATTGCTCAAGGTTACATGCTACTTGGTGCCAATGTAATTCGTGGAAATCATCCCTAGGTTTATTTGATTTTGGACTTTGATCTCCATAGAATAGTCCAGGAAGTGAGGTCCCTCAAATTCAATGTAGAGCAGGAGCAGGAGATTGTGCTACGAAACATCCGTGGGGCAAACATTTCAGAAACAATGATTGCCAACAATACCATTTATGCAAAGACTGGTGATGTTCTGTCTACGCTGATGAACCTGGAGAAGGTAGAGTTTCAATCCTATGTCGAATGATTATATTGGGAGCAAGTAATTTACCCATGGTCAAGACGCATTGTTGAACAACTGAGACTACACAGTACCTACAGATAGTTACTGAATTAACTCAGCTTCTAGATGTGTGCATGTGTTGTACCACACATGAGTTCAGGGGGCTGGAAAACTGAAACCAGAAATTCACATGATATACAGAAAGTCCTTGACTTACAACCACAATTGGGACCAGAATTTCGGTTGCTAAGCAAGGTGATTGTAAAGTGAATTGTTACCCAATTTTACTTTTGACATCTTATTAAGCAAATCACTGCAGTTGTTACATGAATCGTGCAGTCATTAAGTGAATCCATTTCCCCCCCCCCCCATTGACTTTGCTTGTCGGAAGCTGACTGGGAAGATCCCAAATGACAGTCACGTGACCCTGAGATATTGCAACCATCTTAAATACATGCTGGTTGCCAACCACTTGAATTTTGACCAGAAGGATTCTTGACAGACACTGTGAGGACCAGTTGCAAGTCACTTTTTACAGTGCCACTGTGACTTTGAACAGTCACCAAAGAAATGGTTATAAGTCAAGGACTACCTGTACTAACTTACCTCCCGAGTTAGTGCTAACCAGCTATAACATTGTGCTAATGCAGGCACTGGGTTTATATTTTACTTGGTTCAATATATATACTTTGTCCTATACTGCAGAGGTCCCCAAACTTTTGGGCACCAGGGACTGGTTCCGTGGAGAGAGGTCTTTCTGTGGACAGGAGGGCGTGTGTTTTTGTGTGCTGCCTGCATCCCACGGATGGGGCTTTGCTTGTTTTGCGGACTGGTTGCTGGCATGCCGTGGCCCGGTACTGGTCCATGGACCAGGGGTTGGGGACCCGTGCTATACTGTACTGTATATAGTTTCTAGGAGCTCAGTATGTTGCATGAACACAACCATTGGGGCTTCAGAATAAAAAATGCAATTATAATTTTCATGTATATCATCTTGGATCCCTTGCTCACCTTTTTTCCCTTGGGTATCTTTCTTACACAGTCACACTTACTTGATAGAGAGTACCAGAAAGGAGATGTAAAATCAGCAGCCATGAGAGCCTTGCGACAGTCTGCAGTAAGTAGAAGAGTGGGCTTGGTTGCCCTGCCTGGGTTCAATTCACATTGGCACAGGCTAATGTGGGGTGGTGGCCAGGACTCTCTAATTCTATAATGACCACATCTTTGTGTTCAGTTCCTAAAGCAGTGATGAAATTCCCTTTGGTGCCTGGGGGCTGCACCTTATTTTTGGGGGGAGAAGGAAGGCCATGGGCATCTTCTGGGGGACAATTCATGCCACATGTATCATCACCTCACCTCACCTCACCTTACATTATTTCATTTCATTTCATTTCATGCATGCATCCATTCATGTCCTATAGCTGCCCAATTCCATCAAGTGACTCTGGGCTTCTACGGATACCTGTGGCAAAGGTCACAATGGGTGGGGAAATAATTCAAAGTGAATAATGCACTTGTGGGATTTTTGGGGGGGGGGAATATTTTTTCTCTTTTTAAACCATATTGAATATACTGCAGTGCTTGCATTACAGATGTTGTATTTTCTGTCTCAAAACAATGGGAAAGATGAATGATTGTGGTCAGGAGCTTTTGTGGGTTGCAAAAGAAGATGGGACTCTGTACGTGCTGGTGAGCGTAAGGTTTCATCCAGGTCCTGTTCACCAAACAGTATATGGAGGGCATTAGAACTCAAAGGGATAAGGAAGATACACTTCACAGTAAGTCCTGACATCTCGTGTTCTCTGCTTTTCCTACCCTGCAGCTGGACGAATCTACAATAGGCCGCCGACAAACTTTGGTAAGAATATTGGACTGACTTTGGGGCTATTTTTGCCTTTCTCCTATTGGTCTGCAAAAAGCCCAATGAAACTGGTGACACAGCAGATCAGAAGCTGTCCATTTTTCTGCATCCAGAGGCAGATGAAGTTTCAATTAAGCTGATTTATTGCTAGAGGCCTATGCTCAGGAATCTTTTCAACAGTTAGCACCTGGTTAGAGTTAGATAAAGGGAGGGCTGGGCTTAATTTGCTTGTGGCTATGTAGGGATTCTAGGCTAAGCCCTTTTTTTCACCCCTCCCCCAGGTTTTGCCATTCCTTCTCCCATAAGAAATGAATGGGTGTTTGGTCAGTTGCTGCTGATTTTCCTTACTGAATTTTAGATTTTGTAAGTCACTTGGAATCACAAGATAGAAATGTGAGGCATGCACTTTTTAAAATTAAAGGATGATGAATGGATGGATTTTAGAAAATGTGCATGTAAACTTAGGAAAGAGGTGAAATAGGAAGTAGTATTTAAGCCCTGGATTCAGCCACCCAGACAGCCCTTCCAGAGAAGTCTCATTTGTACCATTCTTCTTTGCCACTTGTCCATTTCATTTTCACTGTTTCTCCCTTCTCTAGCCAGCAAAATTCGACAAACAACAGAGGAACTCGGTAAGAGTTTCATGGGGTGGCTCTCCCTTCAGCCATTGTGGGAGAGATGCACCACGCTTAGATCCAGAGGAAATGTAGTCTTTCAAAATAGACGTTCCATGCATGTTCATGACGACACGGGGATTTTTCAACTTGTTGAGTTTCATTCACTCCAGCTTGAGAACACTGAGCATTGATTCACTAAATCTTTTATGAATAAAAGATAAGGCCTGTTCTTGGCCTTTAGAGGAGCTCTAGGGTCCCTACTTGGTGTTTTGGGGTGAGGAGGGATTCCTCTTCCACCTCCTCCTATGGATTTCTAGCTTATCTTTCCCTGAGAAGCTCAAGGTGGCTTCATAGTCCTAAACCCTCCCATAACCAGCTGTGAAACAGGTCGAATTGAAAGAGTGACTCTCTAAAATCACTCATGAGTTTCATGGTTGAGGCTGACTAAAACCTGGGTCTTCTCGCTTCTAACCTAACTGCATCACAGAGCCTCTCAGGGATTCACATGGAGCTTCAGGTATGCACTCTGCTTTACAGACTCATGCCAAAAGTCAAAGACATGGATTGAAAGCATTCTCATGTGCAGTGGTACCTCGGTACTCATTGTTAATTGGTTCTGGGAAGCGTGATGAGTACCAAAAACAACGAGTACCAAGCAAAATTTTCCCATAAGGAATAATGTAGTGAGTCACAAGGCAGCTGCCACTGACAAGGTCTAGCTTGTGGGTTGAGCACCAAACAAACGATGAGTATGGGAACAAAATTTTCATGTCAAAATGTGTTGACACCAAATTTGGAGTTTCAAAGCCGTTGAGTACCAGGTTACCACTGTATATAGTGGACAGAGAAGAAGGAACAAAGGAGAAAGCTTCCCCTTTGCATCTGCCATCCCAAGCTGGTACCTTCTTAGATGTGTTGGACGATAATTCCCAACATCCTTAGTTCCGATATGGAGGATGCTTTCTTGATGAAGACATAACCATAAACATGAATTTGAACATCCCTTCCTCTTTTTCTCTCCTGTTTGCTTCTGCTCTTAACATTTGAGTTTATAGAGTGCACTTAACCCAGTTAAAAAGTTGATCTGTTTCACTGATTTGTACAATGCATTAACACACTAAAAATGTACCCAAGATTAAAGCTAAGTATATCAGGTCGGACAAAAGACAATCTGTATCCCAACTGTAACACAGCTATGCAGGTGGTCCTCAACATACGGCCACAATTGGGACCAGAATTTCTATTGCTAAGCAACGTGGGCCTTATATAAGTCGTGCCTGACTTGCTGACCTTTTTTGGTGCAATTGTTAAGCTAATAACTGCAGTTGTTCGATGAGTCACTCAGTTGTTAAGGAGAATCTGGCTTCCCCATTGACTTTGCTTGTCCGAAGCCAACTGGGAAGGTTGCAGATGGCATTCACATGACCCTGGGACATTTCAACTGTCCTAAATACATGCTGGTTGCCAAGCGGCTGAATTTTTATCAGGTGAACGTGGGGATTCTGTAATGTTTCTAACTGTGAGGATCGATTGTAAGTCAGTGCTCAGTGAATGTTTGTTTGTCGAGGACTGCCTTAGTTTTATTGCAATGCTTGATACTTTGTTTTTGTAGGTGCCAGGAAGCTATCCAGAAAAGGTCCAGATTCGTCGAACAACTTTGGTAAGGAGATAATAGCAATATATCTAGGCATGTATATGTCCCTCAATAGGTACATATCCTCACACATATACAATCTTTATTGTTCAATCACTACATTGTGTCCAACTCTTCATGACCTCATGGACTGCAGCACACTGGGGCCCCTTGTCCTCCCGTCTCCCGGTGTTTGTTCAAATTCATGTTCATTGCATCGATGACACTATCTAACCATCCCATCCTCTGCCGTCTCCTTCTCCTTTTGCCTTCCATCTTTCCCAACATCAGTGTTTTTTTTCCAATGAATCCTCTCTTCTCATTAGGTGGCCAAAGTATTTGAGTTTCAGCTTCAGTAACTCTCCTCCAAAAGAACACTCAGGGCTGATTTCCTTTAGGATTGACTGATTTGATCTACTTGCAGCCCAAGAGACTCTCAAGAGTCTTCTCCAACCCCACAGTTCTAAAGCACCAATCTTTCCATATGATTCAATTCACACAGCCATACATTATTACTGGGCAAATCATCGCTTTGACTATACGGATCTTATATACAATCTATTCTCTGCAAATCTCTTAATGTTGTTTGGCTCCCCTTTTGCATGTTTGAAGCGGGATTTTGAAATTGGATATACTATTGAATAGTGTTTTAGTTGATGTCCAAGGTAGTAAACAACCACACAATCCCCCAAAAGATGGCGGAATACTAGGGACATCATTGGCTGAAAAAGAGAAAGCTCATTATCTTGAAAGAGGAGGAGGAGGTAGCAAGAGATGCACTGATGATGTTACTTAGTTTGGTAATGAAACATCTGCAACAATCAAGCTCAGAGAGCACCAAGGACCCATGAATAGGGCCATCTCCAATTTTTGGTTATAAACACAATTCTTTCTTCTGCACCGAGTACCTGGGTGGTGAAAGTGTTGACAAAGGGATACTGTAACACAATTACAATGTAACAGGTATTCTTTAACAACTCAAGTTTCCCTACTCACTATTTCCCATCTTTCTCTCTGCTAGCCTGCAGGAATGACTCAACGAGATACCTTGCAGTCAAACATGGTAAGATTGCATGAGGGGAATAGTATTTTTAAAAAAATCTGGGGGCTCATTTTTTCCCCCTAAGCATTGCAGAACATGGCAGTAGCAATAGCACCTGGACTTATATACCACTTCACAGTGCTTTACAGCCCTCTCTAAGCAGTTTAAAGAGGCAGCATATCGTCCCCAACAATCTGTGTCCTCATTTTACCAACGTTGGAAGGATGGGTGGCTGAGTCAACCTTGAGCTGGTGAGGATTGAACCCCTGGCAGCCGGCAGAATTAGCCTGCAATACTGCATCCTAACCACTGCCCCACCACAGCTTTTATTATCCTGATAATAGGAGGATGTCATCAGACATGGGGCCACCTTTGTGGCTGTGTGGAAGGAGGGGTTTGTGGGTGATTTTTGCCCTTTTACAAATAATCCCTAAAATAATGCATCCATATTCATAGTTAAAACTATTAAATTTCACCAAAGTTGGACACCCCTGATCCAGTACGTCCTCCAGGTTAGAACCACCACCTGATTTGTATCTTCTTCTTTTGTCTGTCCTTCTTTAGGATGAAAGTTCTATGGATTCTGGCCAAAACAATGGAATGAGTGCAGTAAGTCTCTAGACTTGGATTTGGCAACCCTTGGCCAATGTGTGGCTTAAAGCAGAGGTTCTCAACCTTTTCTTCACCATGGACCCCCTTTAAATACCTTTTGTGGCCACGGACTATGGCCATGGACCCCCAAGACTTAAGATTTAAATCATAACATTTCTTCAAGCCTTTGCGAACCCCATGATGGCATCACAGCCCCTCAGGGGTCTACAGACCACAGGTTGAGAACCACTGGCCTAAAGCATAAGTTGCATCCATTAAAAGTGGCCTGATTTTTCCATTGGAGGAGCAGCTAATGAGTAAAACGGGTACCCCAAGCCCCTGTAAAGCTGAAAACACTGATTTTGTCTTGTCACCCACCTGGAAAACACAAAAAGGATCCAGCTTTTCATCCATGTCCACATGAATGATGCCAGAACACCTGGGCCTATGTCCTTTGTGCTTCTCAAGTCAGGTTGTCATGCAGGCACCAAGCTGAATATCTTCCTCACCTTTATGGGAATTTTGTTCCCTTTTATTCAGTTGTGTCCAATTTGCAGAGACTGTGTGTGGTTTACGTGGCAAGGTTTTTCAGAAGAGGCTTCCCATTGCCTCCTTCTGGGCCTGAGACAGAGTGATTGGCCCAAGGTCACCAGCTGGCTTTGTGCCTAAAGCAGAACTAGAACTCACAGTCCCCCAGTGTTTAGCCTGATGTCTCAATCTCTATATCAAACTGGCTCTCTATAGGAAATATATTAACTTTATTCAAAATCAGAACTGACCACAAATTTCTGTTTTCTCTGCTCTTTCTCCACTCTAGCCTCCTCCATCTAGAGCGTCTACAGATCAAAGCCAGAGATACCCAGACAGCCTGGTAAGACATTAGAAGGGTACCGAAGATAGTTGATATTATCTAAAATCATATTTCCCACTTATGTTGTACTTTCTGATTCCCCCTCCCCCAGTCTGGAAGTAGCGAAGACAAGAATCAGTACAGGAAGAATCAGTAAGTCTCCGGATGTTTATATAAAATGTAATTTCTTTGAAAATCAGAGTGGCAAAATAATTTATCTTTTGTTTTCTTCTCCCTACCCTCACCCCCAACCAGCTAGCAAGCAATCCAGACCAGAAGCACTGAGTGACCCAGGTAAAGCTTTAAAACCTAGCTGGAGAAACCAGCATTTGCATCCTTGCAGGGCTGACAATGAGGAATGCTGGGAATTGTAGTACAGCAACATTTTGAAGGCTCAGAGACCATTTGCCAGTGGTCTTCAAACTTGGCCCTTTTATGACTTGTGGACTTCAACTCCCAGAGTTCCTCAGCCATCATGAGGAGTTGAGGTCCATAAGTCATAAAAGGGCCAAGTTTGAAGACCCCTGCTCCCAGGCGCTTGTTGGAAAAGTTCTCTTTATTCATAACCAGGCAGGTTATTCAGTTCTCTTTATTCATAACCAGGCAAGCCCTGCTGATTTTTAAAATGTGTTGTGGCCAGAATGGAAACACTTAAAAAACAACAACTCCCAGAAGCCATCTTTGATGTGCAACCCTATAAAGTTGTGGGATTTTAAACAATCCAATTCTGCCTTAGCATTATTTGTGGTTGGGCTTGTTCAACAAACCATGGATTAGCCAGTTTGGTATAGTGATTAAGGCACCAGGCTAGAAACTAGGAGATGGCCAGTCACTTTCTCTCAGCCCAACCCACCTCACAAGGTTGTTGGGGGGGGGGAAGGGAGAGGAAAAAGTATTAGGTGTGTTCACAGCCTTGTTATTTCTAAAAAAGCTTAAAGGTGAGATAGAAGTAAATAAATACAATTAACCCCTGAGGTAGGACATGGCTGTGTTTGCAGGACATACCCAATGATGGGGTTATCCCAGTCTCTCCATTTGCATAACCAACTGGACCCCAAGCTAATCAAAAGGCAGTCCTACCAATTGTATTTGTCCATATATGAAGCTGGGTTAATTTTAATCTTGGCTGGATTTTATGGCTTATGTTAATGTTATATCAATCCAGTAAAGTTTATGATTCAGTTCCTTGTGCAAACACCAATAGGCTAAATCAGCAACTAGATTAAGAATACTGCGCAAATGGGGTCGGTTTTCTCTCTTAAAACCATCAAACAATTTAGGGGAGATTCTCAGGTCACATCCTGATTCATTGGTGTCAATTTACATATACGCTATTAAAGGCATCTTTCGATCATTTGATATTTTCACTCTTCTTTAATTAGATGGCATCCGGACCTAGTGAAACAAGCTTTAACGACTTTAAAACAGGATTACTCAAAAATGGCTATCCCAATTTAGTCGGAGCTTTCCTGGAGAACTCAAATTATGGCAAATTGATATTAGGAAATATATTTCTGTAGCTATTTAGAAATGAGGTCATCTAGATTATTTCATCGAATGAAATGGATTAGTTTATGAATCCATTTAAGATTATATAAGCTTCTCGACTAACATAATTTATTTCTTACTACCTACAGTATCCTGGAAAAACTGGTGTTTGAGAAGAGATACATCTTTAATGAAGACCTCAATTTATTGTATTATTTCAGTTTCATTTAATTGCTTTGCTCTGATTTATCTGACTAACTTGCAAATTGCCTTAACAGCTAAAGATACATTTATTATAAAAATGGAATAAAACAAATTGAAATTACGTAACTTCTAATTTAATATCTAATAAGGACAGTAGCAGCAACATTCTAAAAACAAAGGATAAACCTAAGTAGGTGCTTGTAAGTTATTAATTCACTTGGAGATTTTTTTTTAAAACCCAATAAACAGTCTTCAAAGGTATCAAAGATAATATTCAGCCTGGTACTGAAAAAGTGGGGGAAGTAGAAAAGTGACAGCAGTCATGGGAAGCTATGTCTCTGGAGGCCATGTCTGACAGGGATCTGGAGATTACGCTCCTTTGGGTTCAAACCAGCACTTTAGCTCGGTTAAGACATGCATTAAGCTAGGTCTTTCATATTTGGGTTACAAATCTCAGAACAAAGCTTCA